CCCCGCCGCCGCCGCCCGCCGCCCCGGATCCTCCACCACCGCCGCCACCGCCTCCGTGCTGGTCGCCGGCGTTGTCAGTCTTGAGCCGCTTCGGGGCCCGGCCGCCCTCACTGCCGCCGCCGTAGTAGCGGCCACCGCCGCCTCCGCCGCCCGCCGCCGCCATCTTCACCATCGCTCCCGACCGCCTCCGCTGCTCCTCCGGCTGCTGCCTCTGCTCCAACCGCCGACGCCGCTTCTCCGCCCGGGGCAGCAGCCTCCGCGACATGGCGGCGCAGAACCCGCCTCCCCCCGCCTCTCATTGGGGGAGGGACACGCCCGTCACCCACCGCCCCCACCCGATAGGGGGAGCCACTGGTCCCGCCGCGGGGGGAGGAAGCCTCCGCATGCCTTGAGTCCCTATTGGACAAAGCCAACACCGTTCTGCATATGAGCCCGCCCTCATTTGTTTGGGACACTCATTATAGGCGAGCTCTTTCTGCCAGTCATCTCACTGACCCTGCAGCCTTAAAATAAACTCCAACTTGATAGGCCGGAATTTTGGCACCGCGCTCCCCATGCTCCTGAAAAGCCCCGCCTCCTTCCCACTTTCATTGGTTTTTTGGCTAATCCATCAAACCGAAAGCTCTTAGTCTTCCAGTCACAACGACTACCTTCCCCGCGCCACTGGACAAGAAAACAAGGAAGCCCCTCCCTTTTGCCTCTCTCCAGTGGTTATTGCAGATCCTTATCTTCTGCGTCTCCCTCACCACACGGTAGGACCACTGGTGGTCTCCGATTGGGTGAATAAGGGGAGCCCACCCAGTGAGAGCTCTTTGGCGCAGCCTAGGAAATCATCGAAGAGGAAAACGCATGCGCATATACGCTTTCGGGCGCCTCTGGAGGCGGGGCGACCCTCTCAAGGAGCGAAGGCCTGGAGGACCCAGAGTATTTATTACGTGACTGCCAAGTGCCGCCCTGAAGGCTAGACCAGACCGAGGGGCAACTGCCAGTGCAGCTCTCTGCCCATCACTATATTCTGTTCCTCTCCACCTTAAACCTTCACAGTGCCGGAAGGGTGTTTTAACCCAAATCTGTCCCTTTCCGTCAGTAAAAAACCTTTCGGACCCTGTCCACTTCGCTGGCGTCATTTCACCACTCCACTTATAAATTCAGTAACTCAGTTGGTAATCACCTGCCGCGCACCTCTAGATCTTTGCTGGGGCAGTCCCACCTAGAACACCACCCTTCCTGCCGGAGCTAAGGAATGATTCCTTCTTTTCGTGCGGTCTCAGTTAACTCTGAAAAGTTATCCTCGCCCCTACCAGCCTAGAACCCCAGGGCACGCACCCCCATGATTACTCCGGCCAATGGTTTTCACGGAACAGCCCTGACCTCTCCAGGTCTCACAGTCCGGTGACTGTCTTCCTTTAGCACGGAAGTCGTGTATGGGCGAGGGAGCGGTGGTTCCTGCCTCAGCCTTAGGGGGGCTGGTCCGCCTACCAGGCACCGGGTCACAGCACCCGGCACGGTGCTAGCGCTCTGCAAACGGGGGGTCGTTATGGTATTCTAAGCGTCCGGCGGGCCTTCCTCCGGGACCGAGGGCTCAGAGTCTAGGGTCCAACGATGCCCACTAGCCGGAACCTGGAGGCGGGGGCCCACTGCTCACCCAGGATCCCGCCCTAAGGGTTCTAACGCTAGGGGGCTTCCTGCTGAGGGGTGCGGGGGAGACACTACGTTTAGAAAACTATGATAGTCATGGGAAATGCGGGGGACGCCATCAAATACGCTGCGGAACCTTTCCCCCCAAGTGAGAGGGGGGATCCCCGAAATAGGGGTCCTCGTGGAAACTAAGTTAGAAATGGGGTCAGTGGCACTAAGAGCGTAGGGCAGGCATGTTGGGTCTGCGGGTTTGGGGAGATAAGAAAGTTGGGGGTGGGATGATGGGGATCTAAACCAGCTCTCAGTCACACTGGGAAGATCCAAAAGGCCCGCAGAATCGAGATGAGGGTCGGTGCCGCGACTTTGACACGTGATTCGGGCGGTCGGATCGAGCCACGGCTGGTCCCACAGAAGGGCGGGGTCGAGAGGTCCGGACGTCAGAAGAATGCGGTGGGGGGAGGGGGAGAGAGGGGCCCCACCCCTGCGCGCCCCCGCGCCCG